CTTTAGTGGAAGGTGTCTCCCCATGGCAGGAGTGGCACTGGATGGGTTTTGGGGTCCCTTCCAAAACAAACCATTCCATGACTCCATGGGGTTATTGGAGATGATGGAATGGACCTTCCTTGGACAGCAGGATGGGAACAAGTGATGGTGAGCTGGAATTCCATAGAACAAAGGGTGCCATTAGCTGTGGGCTCCTTTCTGACAGGGATTATTCCCCCTGACCGCTCCTAAACAGCAATGCTGGAGCTGTTTGACTGCAGCAGGGTGGGTATGGAGTGAGAATGGTGGGATCCCATGGTGGGATTCCTGGTGGCTGAGCTGTGACACACAGACAGCCCCTCACACCACAGCAGGGGAGGTGGAACCTGCCCTGCCCCTCTGGCAGCCACTGACTCCGACCTGAAGGCACTCAGGGCTCCCAAGCACGTGAAATAACAACCCTGGGCCCCTGTGCCAAGTCTCCAGCTGTTCCCACATGTGCATCTCATCCTGACCTCCTCCTGTGCCCGTGCCAGCCCCGAGATTCCATAAAACACCACTCTAATCCCCAGCCCTTTTTCATTAAATGACCAATTAAAGCTCAAGGAAAAGCCTCCTTATTATTATTATTTCAGTTGGGAGCATGTTCCCTGTAGCTCCAGGGGTTTTTTGGGGTTTTTTTTTTGGGGATGATAACCTTCCCTTGGCTTTGTTATCAGCAGGGTTTGGTTGCTACTGTGGCTGCTTTGCTCTGGCTCCTTAGCAGAGCTGTGGGTTTCAGTTCTGTGCATTATTAAACTCTCCTGGACACCAGAGAATGTGTTCAAGGTGAGAACATTGTGTTTATTCTGTGGGATTGAGGTCAGGGAGGGCCAGCAGCTGCAGGGAGGTCCCTGAGGATGCTTCAGCTCCTCAGGTGTGGCTGGGACAAGGAGCAAACCCCTTCCCCTAGTGGCATTTGGGGTGAGACTGGCATGGAAAGATGGAGGCAAGTGTCTGCCTGAGGCTGAAACCCATCAGGAGTTCAAAGCTTAGCAAAAAAAAGTGCCCCAAGTTCTTGGTTAGTCCCCTCTGCTGTACCTGAAACAGGGTTTTTGGAGGTTCTGGGTGGGGACAGCTGTGGTGATCTGGCTGGAGAGCTGCCCCTGACATTCCCATGGATCTGCACAGGGTGTCCATGTCCAAGGGAAGTTTGTCCCTCCCCTGAGGGGCTGCAGCTCCCCAGGAGTGCTCAGGACAGGGATGGTGCTCCCTGCATGGCTGTGCACTCACTGGTTCCCAGTAAGCCCAGTATGGATCCAGCCCAGGCTCTGTGTGGCCCCAGGGAGGGCAGGAGCAGCTGAGGGAGTCGTGGTCCGTGTCTGGATGGAGGTGATGGGGATGGATGGATGGATGGATGGATGGATGGATGGAGATGGAGCAGCCCAGGGATCCATCACTGTGCAGGATCACTCCCAGCTGCTTCCCCTGTTCATTGAAGATCCCAACCCTAAATCTGACCCCAAAACAGGCCAGCCCACCTCCCAGCAGTGTTGTGCCTCTGTCCTGGGTTCTTTTTTCTCCTGTAATCAATGCACTGGGTGGTTCAGGCTCTGTTTTGCACACTCAGATCCCTCTATGGTGACCATGCAGATCCAGCTGGATCCCACTAGATCCACAGAGAGAGGAACTCCTCATGGTGACTTTTCCCTGGGTGCAGCCCAGATCTCCTGGACTTTTTGTCCCCCCTTTTCCAGGACATCTCCTGCATTCTTTTCCCTCCTTTTCCAGGACATCTCCTGAACTCTTTTTGTCCCCCCTTTTCCAGGGCATCTCCTGAACTCTTTTCCCCCTTTTCCAGGACATCTCCTGGACTCTTTCCCCCTTTTCCAGGACATCTCCTGAACTCTTCTCCCTCCTCTTCCAGGGCATCTCCTGAACTCTTTTCCCTCCTTTTCCAGGACATCTCCTGAACTCTTTTCCCTCCTTTTCCAGGGCATCTCCTGGACTCTTTCCCCCTTTTCCAGGGCATCTCCTGGACTGTTTCCCCCTTTTCCAGGACATCTCCTGGACTCTTTCCCCCTTTTCCAGGCTATCACTTTGCAGGTAATGAGTTGAGCAGGGTCGTTAGCACAGCCCGGGCAGGGGGGCGGGGGCTGCACCGCCTGGAAATTTCTCACCGCAGACTTCACTGGGGCCAGACATGTTGTAAATTTTACAAGAAAAACACTTTACAGACCAGAAGTCCAACTCTGCTGAGCACAGAGCTGCTAATTAACAATTTGGAGGCCACGGGAGCCGATCCCACTTTCCTGGAGCCTCCTGGTTCCCAGTCAGGCTTGCAGGGTTTGGGGGCCTCCTCCAGCTCCAGCTGGGGATCTCTGGTGGTTCCTGTTCCCATCCTCCTGCTGCTGCTTCCCTGCTGGCACACAGGAGCTCCCAAAGCTCCCAGGCTCTCCTGGAGATGATGTTTAACATCATCCAGAGCACTGGGATGTCTCAGGATGCTGAAGGTGTCATTTGTGGTGTTTGATCCCTGCTGTGGCACCTTTTGGTCCCCATCTTCCATCCCTGTCCCCCATCATCCACCCCTGATGGATGAGAGCAGATGGAGGGAGCAGGATGGAAGCAGGAGGGGCAGAGTCATCACAGTGAGAAGGTTTTCTGGCTGAAATATCTGTGGTTTTCCTCTCCATCGTGATGAGCTGGGGTCAGAAACCCCGCGAGGTAGAGCTGCCCCGATGGGCCGGGGTGTTTTCCGTGGTTTCTCTCCCGTTTCCCTTGGTGACAGCAATAACAAAGCCGGCCAGGAGGGGAGGGAGCTGTGGCCCAGCTCTGCCTCAGGGCTGGGCTGGCTCAGAGCCCTGCAGGTACAGCTCCCTCCTTTCCCTTTCCCACAGTGTCCCCTACTGCCTGCACTCCAAAATCCACCCAGGAAAAAGCAGAAAAATCTCAAAATCACCGTGGGGAAATGCTGCTAGGGAGGAGGAAGAGCAAGATTCCTGCAGGGAGGGAAATCACACAATCGGGGAATGTCTGGAGCTGGAAGGGATCCATAAGGATCATCCAGGCCAAATCCCTGCTTCCTCAGGATGAGCTGGATTCAGTCAAACTCTGCCACTGTGCTGCTCCAGAAGGGTTCTTGGAAGAAGGAATTTAAAGGGGATGGATCACACAGCAGGAAATAGAGGAGACAGGAACTGGGAATAGCAAAGCCACTTTCTTCTGTTTTCCTTTGGATAATACAAGGGAACCAACCCAAACCCTTCTCCCAGGGGAAAGCAATGTGGGTTAAAAGGGTGGATGGGTTATCCATAGAAAATGTGCTGTTATGGTTCCCCTGTGGGGTTTGCTGCTAAATCAATGATTTAAATCAGATATTTGGGGTAGGAATTGGCAGATGAGATGAGACAAACCCAGGGAAGCTCCCTGAAGGTGCCAGTCTCTGTCTGGACCTCAAGGACCCCATGGGACATGTGCTGAAACCCTGGGAAATTCACCATTTTCCACCAAAATCCCTCCCCAAGGCCAGGAATCTTTAATCCAGGAAAAGCCCAGCAGCTCCTGACGTTCCCATTTCTCCTTCCTTCCCAAGACCTACGAGCAGAACGAATGGATCATCCACCTGGCTGGGAAGCTGCTGGCCCAGGAGGAGGAGACCTTGTCCCTGCTGGCCACAAACCCCTTTGCAGGCAGAGACCCTCCAAGGTGAGCCTGGAGTCACCCCAAGGGAGAGCTTGATCCACCTTGTCCCCATCCTGGACGTGCACAGGAGGTGCAATTCCTGTTGGGGTTTGTGTTTGGTGGGATTTGGGGTGGGATTTTGGGATTTAGGGTGGCTTTGATGGACACCACAGTGCTGCCAGCACCTCATTTCCCTCCTGGAAGGGCCACAGGGAGCCTTGGGATGAGCCCATTCCCAGCAGATCCATGCAGGGCTCGGTGCTGCTGCTGCTGCTCCTGGCCAGGAATGGTCCCTCCTGTTGTGCTTTCCTGCCCCTCAGCCCCGGGGCTTTTGCCACGTTCCCTTTGCCAAACCCCACCATTCCCATGGACCTCCTGAGGTGTTTCAAAGGCAAAACAGCCCTGCAGGAATTACTGAGTTTGTGGACACTGCTCTTGGAATTGTTTGTGTTTTCAAGGAAGAGACAAAGCCAACATCAGCCAGGGAGAGGCACAGAGGAAAGCTCCGAGGTTTTACACAAAAGGAATTTTGTCCCAAAAGCATCTGTTTTGTTGATGGAGATATTTTTAGCTGAGAAAACATTTTTTGGGGCATTTTGGATCAACTCAAGCCATGTTATGCTGCTGCTAATGTTTTCCATTTGAGGCTCTGAGGATGCACTGCAAACAGGGATGCAGGTCCAGGGCTCTGTGTGGAATGAAATTCCCCTTGGATCCCAGTGATGTTTTCCAGCTTTAGGGCACTGCATCCCCAAAGCTCCTGGGGAGAGAGACTCCTTCTCCAGCTCAGGCACAGAAAATTTCCCACTTTTACCAAAATGGTTCCTCTGAGGTGCTTTGAAAACCCCAAGATGGTAAAAATTGTAAAAATTCCAAAATCCTGGAATGGTTTGGGTTGGGAAGGAGCTTAAAGCTCATCCAGTTCCAATTCCAGCATCTTCCACTGTCCCAGGGTGCTCCAAGTCCTGTCCAGCCTGGCCTTGGACAATTCCAGGGATCCAGGGGCAACCACAGCTTCTCTGAGAATCTGTGCCACCCTCCCAGAGAGGAATTCCTTCCCAAAATCCCATAACCTGCCCTCTGTGGCCTGGTGCCATGGAACTGGATGATTTTTAACCTCTTTTCCATCCCAAACCATCCCTGACCCTGTAATTCCCTGATCCTGCACTTTTATCCAGAATTGAGGGGAAAATTTGCTGCCCAACCTTAGGGATCCCTCCATTCCCACCACAGTAGCTGGGTGGAAAAAACTCCTAATTTTCCTACCCTTCTTCCCCCCTCCCTCCACTCCAAAGGGAATTTTGAGACTTAATTATTTTCATTCCCTGCTAGACTAAATAATTAGGGGAAGGGGCTGTTTTCCATAAGAACCTTGCACTCCATCCTCCACGGGGTTTGTTCTGCTAATGGAAACTCTACACCTTCAATAGCCAAGGGACTTTCAGAATGAGTTAATGCCTTCGAAATGAAATTTCGGAGACCAAAGTTTGGAGGGTTCTTTACAACTCAAGAAATTATAGTATTTTTTCAAGTGTGATAAACTTCAAATGAGAAACAGGTGACTGATTGAAAATGAGGGCATTGTTGAGGGCCTGCCTGAGTGGGAAGCTTGGACCTCGAGGCTGGTGATGTTTGGGGAATGTGGATTTCCCAAATATTCTGGGGCAGTGGATAGTTCAGAAAAGCCCAGCCCTCATAAATCTGAACAGGAGGGCTTGGGCTGAGAAATTCAGAAGTGTTGAACACACCATGGAAAAGGCTGCAGCAATCAAAGGAAGCAAAAATCAGATTTAGCCCACAGGAGGGGGAAAAAAACCTCCAGGTTTTTGGGTCTGTGTGGTGTCTCTGATATTAAATCATGGTCACTTCAGGATTTTTATTCCAATTAAAGCAGCACTTTGTGGGAAAAGCCCCACGATGGGTGTGAAGAGCTGGATTTGTGGTGGTGGTGTTTGTGAGGGAGCTGGTGCTTCCCTTTGGATGCTTTGGAGCACAGGGGAATGGGGCATTTGGGATCCTTTTTTATGGGATTTTATTTTATTTCCCATTTAAAAGTGACTGGAGTTGATACCTGGGCTGGGATCTGTGGAATCAGCCCAAGCCATGGGAAGAGCTTGGTCATATTTGCACTTTGTAAAAGCCAATTTGGGGTCTGAACCTTCCCTAAAGAGATAAAGGTGACTCTGGAGCAGTGCTGAGAGCAGGCAGGGACTGGGAATTCCTGGAAAATCCAGGCCTCAGTGGGATGAGGTGGAAAAGAATCCCTCAGCTATTACCAGAATTAAATCCCTCAGCCCTGAAGGGAAGTTTAAGGGGTTTTCTTCGGGAAAAAAACCCCTCAGTATTTCAGGGAAGGCAGAGCTCATCCCAAGCTGGCAGGATTTCCCCCAGGCTGGGAAATGTGGTGGCCATGGGATCTCTCTTCCTTGGCAGGGTGAATTCCAGCCTTGGATCCATCTGGAGACAGTTTTTGGGGTTTTTTTTCTCCACAGTTTTCTCTGCCCTTGGTGTTGTCCCACCCATCCAACCCCATCCAGAGAGGAAAAAGCAGAGAGGAAAAAGCAGAGGAAAACCCCCTGTGCCTTTTCCCAAGGGGATTTTGAGGATCAGCTGCCCTTGGGATGCTCCAGCTCTGTGGGACCAGACCAGAATCAGCAGCACTAAAAAACAACCCCAAAACTGCCCTGATTCCCTCAATTTAGGCCGAGATTAATTAATTTCTGCTCCCTCCACCACCAGGGCAAGAGCAGCGATGCTGGAGCAACGTTACCTTGATGAATTTGGGCTTCCCACCACCTGATTTACAGCAGAGCAGGGAACCTCAACACAAAACACCCCAAAAAAATCCCCAAAAAGTCACCCCATGTTTTGCTTTCTTTCTTTCCCTCTCCCACCCCTCCTTGCCTTGGCAGGCCATTAATTCTAACAGAAACCACCACTGGGTTGTTGGTTTTTTGGTTTTTTTTCCCTGGAACCCCTCAGCTGTTGCAGGGAGACAGCTGCACCCTCTGGAACTAATTACAGCTGTCTGGGAGATTTAGGCCCCTGTCCCACCAAGTCCAATATTGCTGCTAATTTTTAACACATCCCCTTGGGGCTGATACCCGAGGGCGCTGCGGGGCAGCTGCTGCTGCTGCTCCGGGCATCTGCTGAGGGCAAACACTGCTGTAAAAAAATAATTCTGGTTCGTTTTAGCTGTTCTGGCCTCTCCCCGAGGCCAGGGGCTGCTGGGGATGCCCCCAAAGGTGGTGGCAGAAGCATTCTTGGGGTGGTTCAGTTGTTCCTCCTCTGTCGGTGTTGTTGCCTTCTGATACAAGGCAGGCGGCCTGGTTTCAGGAAACAGCACGGCGACCCCCTTCCCCACATGGTGGACGGTCAAAGGCCTTTATTCTCTCTTCTCGTGGGGTTTTATAGTCTAAGGGGCTTCTACGTCAGGTGAGGGTCTGTCTTTACCATCTATGGTTAGTAGGGATGGAAAGTTACTGGCATCTGGTTCAGGGGGCTGCATTCCTATGTTAATTTTCTTATCTAAGGGGGCAGGGGCCCTGTCTTCCCGTAACATCACGAGATCTTCCGAACGCCAGGCCCTATCTGCTACATCGTGTTGTCACTCTCCCGGCACCGCTGTTGCAGCAGGAGTTGCCCAAACCGCCTTTTGGTTCTCTCACAGCACAGAGGGTTTTCCATCTCCTGGGAGAGTCCTTGGAATGCCATCCAGCCCTTGCCATGGGCAGGGACATCCTCCACCACACCCCATCCTTGGACACTCGCAGGGTGGAGCAGCCTCAGGTTCCCTGAGGAGCTGTGCCAGGGCCTGCCCACCCTCACAGGGAGGGATTCCTTCCCAATGTCCCAGCAAATCCTTCAGTTTAAAGCCATTTCTAATGGGAGCTGGTGCCAGTTGCTTCCCAGGGATCCAGGAGGAGCTGCCAGCCTGTGTTTGCTCAGTAAATCCCCACAAGTCCTTCTCATCCTTCTCTGCGTACCTGGGACATCCTGGTGAGGTCAGGCAGCTCCTTGCTGACCTTCCAGAAGCTGTGGGTGTTTCTCCAGAGCAGGAATCAGGGAATCTCCTGCAGGCTCAATCTCCAAGACCTGTGGATCCCTTCCAGCTGCCAGGAGATTTTTTGGAAGCCCCCAAAACTTCACAGACTCTGGAAGGATGGGAGTTTGTAGCACCTTCCCTCCCTGAATCCCAGGAAGAGGGAGCAGGACCAGCGCTGGAGGAGCTGGAAAACCCCATAATTCCAGGATTGAGGCACCCAGGCAGGTTATAAACCCTGGCAGAGCTTGTAAACTCTGTGAGCCCTGAAATGAGGGGCTCCAGTGGGTATTAAACACTGCAGCTTTTACATCCTGAGCCTGCCAAGGAAATATTCCCTCCTGGTTCCAGGTTTTCTCACATTTATTTTGGGAATATTTGGAGATGGGTCCAGCTTGGGAAGTGCTCTGCAGCCACTCAGTGAAGGAAAAACCCCCAAGCATCAGAGGGGCAGGTGGAGGATGCTGGGAGCAGGAGACTGCCATAAAATCAGCTCTGAAGCATTTTTGGGAGGTGGATCTGGGATTGGAGGTGGAGATGGTTTGGGAATTCCAGGAAGCAGCCAGACAGCAATTGGAAATCTCCAGTCATCCTGGAGGGGCTCCCTGGACCCTCAGGGATGAGGCTGTTCAGTAACACTCAGTTATTAACAGGAATTTTGTGTTCCTGCAGAGGAAACCCTGTGGGAATAACTCCAGCCCCTGTTTGGCTTTTCCCAGCCTCAGAAAGAGGGAAGAGAGGGAAGGAGTGGGCCAGGCTGGAATGAAGGCAGCAGCTGCAGGGCAGAGTTTGTGGGGGTGAGGTGCAGGTTTGTGCTCCCCAAATTCCACTCAGAGCCCCTTTTCTCATTTATCTTCCTTCTTCCTCAGAGTCATTGAGTCATGGAATGGTTTGGGATGGAAGGGACCTTAAAGCCCACCCAGTGCCACGCCTGTCATGCCAGGGACACCTTCCACTGTCCCAGGCTGCTCCCAGCTCCATCCAGCCTGGCCTGGGCACTGCCAGGGATCCAGGGGCAGCCACAGCTGCTCTGGGAAACGTGATGGGTGTGATGGACACACAATCCCAGATCACTGAGGCTGGAAAAGGCCTTTAGGTGCAGCAAGCCCCACCTGTGCCCACTGCCCACCTTGTCCCCAGCCCAGAGCTCCGAGTGCCACCTCCAGGAATTCCTTGCACACCTCCAGGGATGGGGACTCCAAACCTTGCTGGCCATCCCATATTCCCATGGTTTTGTAGGAGAATCCTTCCATGGTGCTCTCCTGGGTCCCAGCAGGACTGGAGCAGAGCTGTTGGGCTTGGAGCCCCCCCTGGGCTGGGTGCAGCTTTCCCCAAGCCCCTCACCCTGCCCTGCTCCCCAAACCCCGGCGCTGGTGGCAAATCCATCGGAGCCGTCCCTCGTTATTTCAGCAGCAGGAAGGACCTTCCCAGCACTGCAGGGATCCCTCAGCTGCGGTGCCCTGCTCAGTAGCAGGGTCTGTGTTTTCCTAGTGGAGCAGAGCAGGTTTAAATGAGCACTGACACGACTTTGACAGTTTTATTTTGTGGGTGTTTTATGGACTCGCCCGGCGATGCTCCCGGCGCGGGCGCCGCTCCGGCCCTTGTCAGCATGTCCTACATCAAGGGGGACAAACCCCCCGGATCCAGCGGCATGGGCAGCTCCCAGGGTGTTTCCTGACACTGATGAATGTTCCTTTCTGCACTGCTTTCAAAGCTCCTCTGCTGTCAGCTCCCGCAGCAGCCGGAGAACAGATGCGCTCAGAGCCGCGCTGCCGCTGCCTGGGCAGGGGGTGCTGGGGGCTCAGGCTCCCCGCTCCCAAATCTTCCAGGCACAAACACTGCAGGATGGCTCTGAGAAAGGGAAAAACCTTCTTATTCCTGCTCTTATTATTATTATTATTTCATACTTAGCTGCGGAAAGGTGTGGGGAGTGCTCAGAGCAAGGGGTGTTAAAGCTCCTGTGCTCGTGCGTCATTCCTGAGGCGCAGCTGGATTCCTGAATGGCATCAGGAGGAGCTTCCCAAAGCCTTCCCAAAGCCTTTCCAAAGTCACTGCTGCTGGCTGTGGGCACCCCAAGGATGGATGGATGATGGATAAATGGAAGGATGGATGGATGGATGGATAAATGGATAGATATGGGATGGAAGGATGGAGTACTGGGATGTGGAGCCACCCTGAGCGCCCTCAAGCTGATTTCTCCATCCAGAAAGGCTCCAAAACACCAATCCAAAGGACCAAACCACAGTCCAAGGCTCTCCCCAGAAGCCCTGGCAAGGCCTGAGCTGCTGTTCTGTCTCCCACAGGTGGATCCGGGGGGAACACTTCAGGTACAAGTTCAGCCAGCCCGGGGGGAAGCACGCCCGCGATGGGAAGTGGTGGATCCGGAAAAGGATCGGCCCCTACTTCCCCCCCGTCAACCTGCAGGGCCTCAGGAAGTTCTTTGAGGACAGGAATTGGCCCTATCCCGTGCAGGACTGAGGGAAGAGGATGGCCAGGACAAGAGGGACCAGCTGGGAAGATGGAGAACGGGCAGCTCCTTCCAAACATCTCTGGTTTTTATCCATATCCTTGTTCACGGCTCTTTTCCGGAAGATTCTTCCAGAAGATTCCCAGCCAATTTGCCCACTTGCTCTGTGAGCTGCTTTTTCCTCACCTCAGTGGTTGATTTCTTTTGTCAGGCTGCTCCATTCAGGAATTCCTCTGGAACTGGGCAAAAGGCAAGCAAATAACCAAGACTGGTTTTGGGGGACGTGTTGGTGCTGCCAAAAGCAGCTGAATGTGGGTTTGAAACAAAAATGGGAAAACAAACCAGGAGGGATCTCTGTGGTGGTGTGGGCTGTGCAGGCAGGCACAGGAATGCCCTTTTCCATGTTCTCTTGCACCTTTTTAACCACATACACCAAATGGGCACCACTGGGAACGTGTTCCTGGGAAGGAATTAAAGAAACAATCCTTGAACAACCAGCAGGAGCTTCACTGGGGTTTTGTTTTTCCTGGAAGTGCTAAAAAGGGAAAAAAAGGAGCCCAAGGGACAAGGCAGCTCCCATGGGAGTGGGGTGGCAGGTGAGCAATGAGCTGAGTCCTGATTTGTGTTTTGGGGAGAATCCAAAATCTGGTGTTGTGTCCAAATGTCTGTCCCCAGGGCTGGGAGAGGAGAATTCCCCTTCCCCTTCTCCCCTGGCTTCCAGGGTGCCTCTGCTCAGGGTTCCTCGTGGTTTCAGTGAATTTTCCATCCAAGCTGCTCCTTCTGCAGTGGGTGCAGCCCTGGGTGGGAGATGGGTGACAGGGGATGGGTGACAGTGACACCCCCTGGGCACCCCCATGCACTGGGCACCCAACAGCCCTGGCCTCCCCCTCCCCAGTTTAATGAATTTCTTTTGCTTTCCAACCTCTGGGTCAGGGATAATGGATCCCAGACCAGCATTCCCATTCCTGTTTGCTGCTTGTTAAGCTTTTTTTTTTTTCCCTTTTTCTTTTTTCAATATAAACTCCCTGCTTTGCTCCAGAGCAGTGCCTGGAAGATAAAACCCATCCAAAGGGGCAGGAGGGGATTCCATTGGAAATGTTTCCCTGGGACAAGAATTTAGAAAAGAAAAGGAACAATTATTCTGAGGTGGGAGGAAATCAGAACCACATTGAGTGATCTGCTCACTGGGAAGGGTTTTGTGGAGAGGATTTTTATCCCGGAGTTCAGCACTGGAAGGAAAATCCACCTGGGAGCTGCTCCTGCCAGCTCTGATGTCCCTGAGGTGCCACCAGGCTCTGCAGAGGTTCTGGAGGGCAGGTTTGGGCTGAGCCCCATGGGGTGATGCCCTTCCTGGCTCATCCCAATCCCAAACCTGGTTCTCTGTCAGGTCCAGGGAAATTCCAGAGCTGAGACAGGCAGGACATGGCAGGGTGGTCACCCCATGTCCATCCTGAGCAGCTCCAGCTCCACCATGGCTGGAGACATCCCAGGGTCATTCCTGGATCAGAAATAATCCTTTATTTTATTTTATTTTATTTTATTTTATTTTATTTTATTTTATTTTATTTTATTTTATTTTATTTTTATTACATTTTATTTATTTTATTTTCTTTTCCTACATGGAAGTTACTGACCCTTGGGGTACCCCAAGTATTTACACTTGGTGTAACTGAGGTAGAAGTGATTTTTCCTCCTTTTTTCCCCAGATTCCAGCCTTTTGAAGCACGAGGTCCCCTCACAAACCCAGCTGGGTTTGCATTTCTGCCCATTGGCCACTGGCTGTGGTGAGGTGGATCCAGCTCATCCCAGCTGATTTCCCCCCCCCAAAAAAGAAGGAATTCTCCCTTTTTTTTTAAATCTCACATCTAGGTCTGTTCCTGGGGAGAACAGAAAGTGAATGTGAATGCACAGAGTTTTGCTCATCCCTTGGATGTAGGGAATGAGGAAATGATTTGTGCTTGGGGAATTTGGGAAGAACCAGCAGCAAGGGATGATCCCATGGATGGGGCATCCAGACATTCCAGAGGGGCTGGAAAGGACCTGAAATCCCATCCCACCCCACCCCTGCCATGGCAGGGACAGCTCCCACTGCCCCAGGGGGCTCCAAGCCCCAGTGTCCACCCAGGTTCCATTTTCAAACATTCCTCTAAAAACCCGAATTTGCTTTTGTGTTTTGGGAATGTGGAGGGGTCAGTGGTGAGGAGCTGCTGGAGATGAGTTTGTGTCCATGCAGAAATTACCCCCACCAACCCAGAGAATTCCTTATTCCTGCATCTTTTATAAATCAGAGGCATTGATTTTTAAAGCAGCCAAACTCCAGGCTGGGAATTCCCATAGGAAATCCCTGCAGCCATATCCATTCCCTGCTCCCAGCTGCTTGGAAAAGCTGGCTTTGCTTTAGCACATATGAAAGGGAAAAGCCTTTTTTGTTTTTTTCCTTCCTGGTAGATTGAGTTTGGCCAAACAATTCCGTGTGAACTGCTGGGCAGGAGGCACAAACCTGTAGGCAAAATTATGCAGCTGCTCCAAGTTTAGAGCAGCATGGGATGAATTTCAGGATCGTATATTAGTTTCCATTTAATCTGATTATTCCAGGCTGGAGTTCCTGGAGGGTCTTCAGGTTATTGTCAGTCAAAAGAATCTTTAAAAGCTTCCATTTGCACTCAGCTTTTCCCATTCCAAGTCTATTTTCATTATGGATCGATTTTGATTTTAATGAAAAAATGATTCTCCCAACTCCCTGCTTTATTCTTCCCCCCCCCACATGGGGTTAAAATTGAAGCCACAACGGGGTCTTGCCACTCAAAATCCCATTTTCCACCTTTCCTCAGGGTGTTGCTTGGGCAGACAACAAGGGGCAGATAATTTGGGGAGGCACCTTCAGTGCTCTGCCTGGGGCCCAGCCATGGCTCACTGGGAGAACATTTCAGTGCCCCCAATCCCAGGGCAGTTCCAGCTCCAGAGTCTGCAGGAACTGCAGATAAATCAGGATTCATTGCTGCTGGAAGCCCCTTGGGGTGCTGTCCCTGCAGGGCTCATTGCTGTCCCCTCCTCTCTGCTGCAGCCCCAGTGGGAGCAGCACCCCCAGGATTGGGAAACTGGGAATCCCAAATTGTTGTGCTGGGTGGGGACGCCCCTGCTTTGGGCTGGCACCTCCCTGGGGTCTCCATCCCACCTCTCCCCAGGAAAAACCAACAGAGGGGCATCCAGAACTGACCCCAAATGCACATTCTGGGTTTGCACAGGATTTGCCTGGCTGAGCCCTCCAGGTGCCACCCGTGAAGGGACACATTGCTCTGTGGGGACATCCATGTCCTGGCTCCTTGTCACAGCCCCAAATCCTCAGTTGGGTCACATTCTGCAGGCAGGCAGGTGAGGAGGACAAAGCTGAGCTCTGGAATTGTCCCTGTGTGAGGAACAAACTCCTGTCCCATTTTTCTACAGGTTTTGCCCCATTTTTCTACAGATTTTTCCCCACTTTTCCACGGATTTCCCCCCATTTTTCTCCAGATTTTCCTCCATTTTTCCACAGATTCTGCCCCATTCTTCCACAGATTTCCCCCCATTTTTCTACAGATTTTTCCCCATTTTGCCATGGATTTTTCCCCATTTTTCCATGGATTTCCCCCTAATTTTCTACAGATTTTTCTCCATTCCTCCACAGATTTTTCCCCATTTTCCCACAGATTTTTCCCCCATTCTTCCACAGATTTTGCCCCATTCTTCCACAGATTTTGCCCCATATTTCCACAGATTTTGCCCCATATTTTCACAGATTTTGCCCCATTCTTCCACAGATTTTGCCCCATATTTTCACAGATTTTGCCCATTTTTCCACAGATTTTCCCCCATTTCCCCACAGATTTTTTCCCCATTTTTCCACGTATTTTCCCCCATTTTTCCATGTTTTTTGCCGTGCCCATCCCCACCTTGCCCCATTCCCCAGCCCTGGCTGGATCCCGCTCCCTCTGCAGTAGCAGCTCTGGGTTGGGTTGCACAGGGCTGAGCTTTCCCCGGGTGCTGGGACAATTCCACTGAAATCACAGCACCTGCAAGTGGTTACTTAGAATAATAAATAACTGATAGATTATCAAATAAAGCCCTGGCTCGGGATGAGGTCATCCCTGCCCCGTGTCCTTCCTCTCCCAGCGTTTGGGAGCTGCTTTCCTGCTGCTCCTGGGCTAAATCCCTCTTGTATCAGGCAATAAAAAACTTGTCAGGATTAAAGAATCAATTAGGAATTAGCCAAAGGGGCAAAGCCTAACCCAAACACGCTGATAAAATCCAGTAGGTGATTATGGGAAGGGCTTTGATTTCATTGGGCTTTGGAAAGGAATAATTGCTCCTTACAGAGCATGGAACAGCCCAGACTGGGTGTTTTTCCAGCTTTATAGAGGAGGAAATTCTGGTGTTCACTGACAAATGTGGGGACAGGCCACGGTTTAGGGCTGAAGGGATTTGAGAAGCATCAATCCCTGGTTGGAAAAATGAGCTTGGGAATCTTTTCAAGGCCAGCCCTGCCTTGATGCCACCCTGCCCCTCCAAGCCAGGCCAGGCTGGCACAGCTGAGCTTTCCCTGGTGCCCATCCTGGAGCTGTGGTTGGCTCCCTCCTGCCTTCCCTGAGGATTCCTGTGCCTTTGTGGCCATTTCCAGCTGCTGCAGCTGTGCCTGGAGCTCCATCTGCCCACCAGGAGCAGCTGTGGGTGCCTGGTATCTGTGGGTCCATCCATCCATCCATCCATCCATCATCCATCCATCCATCCATCCATCCATCCATCCATCCATCCATCCATCCCATATCCATCCATCCATCCATCCATCCATCATCCATCCATCCATCCATCCATCCCATATCCATCCATCCATCCATCATCCATCCATCCATCCATCCATCCCATATCCATCCATCCATCATCCATCCATCATCCATCCATCCATCCATCCATCCCATATCCATCCATCCATCATCCATCCATCCATCATCCATCCATCCATCCATCCCATATCCATCCATCCATCATCCATCCATCCATCCATCCATCATCCATCCATCCATCCATCCATCCATCCATCCATCCATCCATCCATCCCATATCCATCCATCATCCATCCATCCCATATCCATCCATCATCCATCCATCCATCCATCTATCCATCCATCCATCCATCCATCCATCCCCCAGGGCACGGGGCTGGGCACAGTTTGGAAATCCTCTGGGCACAGCAGGGTTGTATCTGCAGCATCCGAGGAGGAGGAAGGGCAGGATGAGCCCATGGGGTGGGAGCAGGGAATGATCCAGGCCCCAAAGGATGGGGCCAGCAGGGGACAGGAGTGACCCTTCCCGAGGGCTGAGTGTTTAAATCAGCACTGGGGTTTGCTGGGAGGTGGTGCAGGGACCTTTCTTGGCGTCCTTATGGAGAGAGGCCTTCCCCAGGCAGGATTTGGATGATCCCTGTGGATCAGCTGAGAATATTCCAAGATTCTGTAATTCTGTGA